GGGTTGGGGACCGCTGATCTATACCACACACCAAATATGCTCTGTTGTTGCTAGCAGCAGCATGCTAACATGCTCATGTTTACCAGGTATAACCTCGACTCTGCTCACCATAGACCACCTTCATTTTTTTTAGCATGACAACATTTTATTTTATTTTATTTTATTTTTAAGTATATATTTTTTGTGTATTTAGTCAAAAGGATCAAATACTGTAGGTGTAAAGTTGTAAACTGCCCGCAAGAAATACCTTTCATAAATTCAGAAGTTTATCTGGATCTGAACAGTTGATGATGATGTTTCCTCATTTTTGGTTCAGGTCTCTTTGTACACATGTGACATTAACTTTGGTCATTCTTATTTGAATTAACTCTAAATTATGATCACCAGTTAAACTGGCCTGGGCCCAAACACGGTTTCATGAGCATCCACCATAACACAAACAGCCAAACTGAACCAGTTCTATAGAATATATTTTTTTAAAAGGGACTTTTTTGTACGTCAATTGGATATGTGCACTCATTTGTAGTGAAAAACACCAAAATATAAATAATGTTGGAAACTTGCTAGCAGTTATTTTAAATGGAGCTGATTTAAAAACATGGAGGCTGTTGTGGCTCTTTGTGTTTCCATTTGGAAAAGTTCGCTGTCTGTTTGAAGCACCTTGGCCACAGCGAGAGCCGGCACTGGGGAGTTTGTGCTTTTGTCAGCCGGAGCTCCCACACACAGCTCACTGGTTCACCGCAGAGTCCCAGATATTATCTAACACCAGATCAAAAAGGTGCTTTTATATTCAATGAAACAGTGTTCCTTCTGTCTATTATGTGAGAGATGAGCTGCTTCATTTTGAGATAAAAATACCAGAAGAACTTAGAACAGAAGGAAAAATGTGGGTGTGGGGATGTGGAGAAAATGCTGAAACATCTTAATGGCAGCTCGGGCGGGAAGCCAGACAAGAATGCCTTTTGACAGAACAAAGCATACTCAGAGGCTGAGATAGAAGAAAGTGGAAAAAAGAAGAAGAAAGAGACGAGGAGAAAGAAATCAGTGAAGCTGGCTGGCTGTAAAGATTATCTGCCACACTATCCACGACACTGGCATCCCCACATAAGTGCTCATTAGCAGTCTGAGCCACGCTCCAAGGAGAGAGCTTATTTTAGACAGTAGACTGCAGCAGCAGTGCTCACAGTCAGGGTCATTTCTCCCGTTTTAGTCCCACATTGCTTCAATGG